CTGAGCTTGGCCTTGTCGGCGGCGGTCAAGAGAATGAGCTCCCCACGCGTTGGCTTGTCAACGAACATCACGTGCGACGCTGCGGCTATCGACCTTGCCGCCTCTTCCTCCGTTCCAAAGTGGCTGTTGATGACGATCAGCGACTGAGATGCGCGGTCTAGGACGATCCTGGCGATCCACTCGTCCTTATCCAGCTTCTTTGTGACGCCCGTCCACCCCCTTTTGCCGGGCACCTCACCGATCTCCCCTCCCTGGGTCGCGGGCGCCATAGATGAGGAGGCTGCAGGTGAGGGCAGTACATGTTGGGACCCCTGCATCAAACCGGGGAGCATGCTCGATAAACCGCGACCCTGAGGGGCGGTTGTGTGACCTGGTTGGCTGTTGGTATCGTCGAGCACCTCATCAGCGGCGAGGAAAGGAGCAGAAGGATGCAGCGGGGGACGAAGCGTCGAAAAGGGCAGTTGCAGTAAGTCGCTTGGCTGTACAGTACCGGGGTAAACCGCGCTGGGAGGTTGATGTGCAAACCCAATCGGCCATGAATGAGCGGCGGATGAGGTGGCCACCTGCTGAATAGCGCCTGCATTCTGCGCAAACCCCACCGCAGATGGTGCGCGTACACCCTGCATATGCGCCCCTGTGTGAAAGGCAGATGGGGCAAAGAACTGTTCCCCCGAAGACCATACAGAAGAAGCCCTTTGAACATCAGGTGCCCTTGCAGTGCCTGCCGCCACAACCGACCATTGAGCACCCTGGACCTCGGCTGCTGAAACCCCTAAACCCGCGGCGCCAGTCGGAACACCGGATGCTGCCGTTGCGTGACCGGCCGATGCCGTCGGAACACCGGTTGCTGGACCTGCATGACCTGCGGCTACAGTTGGGAAAATCACGGCTGCACCTGTATGGCCCGTAGAGGCGGTAGGAATGAAGGCTGCTGCACCTGTCTGACCAGTCGGTACGGTAGGAACACTGCCTGCTGCATGAAGTGCACCTCGCAGACTTGATGCCGCTCCTGGCATACCCGATGCTGCACCTGGCTGTCCAACCCCTTGTGTCGAAGCACCGGCAGAGGCACCTGCCTGCCGCCGAGCAGATGGAAAAGCAACATCAGGTGCACCTGCCTGCGCCGATGAAGCTCGCTGAGCACCTTCACCGTTCCCTGCCAGGCCACCTGCCGCTGTAGTAACACCTGCTGCAGAAACCGGCTGACCTTGCGTGGTGCTAGATGGGACGGCCGCGAGAGCAGAGTGACCCGCCTCGGACTTGTGTGCACCGGGTGTGGCACCCTGGCCTTGGACAGTACATGGCGTCGTCGCGCAAATTGTTGGGCGCGCATGTGACGGAGCGGTGGTGGAAGCGTGGGGAACAGCGATCATGTTCACTGGAGCTTCCAATGATGCTGCGGGCGTACGATGGGGCGGAGGGGCTGCAGCGGTAGAGGTGGTGGGTTCGTCGCTGTTCAAAACCTCCACTAAACCCGTCGGCAGCTTGAACCCTGTCTTGGCAGCCATCCCCTGGACGGCCGTGAAGAGTGACGACAACATACCCATCACTTTGTCGAGTCCCTTTTCTCCACTGTAAACGGAGTCTTTCAGAGACTCCATGTCTTCATGCAGGCCCTTCAGCTGTGCAGCATGAGACAACTGCTCCGCCGCCAAATCCTGGATGGTTGGCTCCTTTATCTCCTCAACTCCGCCCTCGCTATCACTCTCGTCCCCCCCGTGCTGATCACTCTGTGGGGGAATGTCGGCCCCCTTCAATGCCAGCGATTCCAGCAGTGTACCTGCACCAGCCTCGCACATCAGACCCCGAATTTCGCGCCTGCATTTGGCAGCACTGTAACGAGGATGATTGATCCGTTCTTCCAGGCATTCGAAAGCTCGGCCCACAAGCTCCTTGGAGAACATACAGACGTAGACCCCGCAGTCCACACTGTTCTGTTGCTGGGGTACCTCGAAGTACTGCAGTACAAAACATAAGAGTAGTATGAAACACAGAGTAGACATGCGTGGTAAACCGAGTCCCGCATGTCTGTTGACATGCGTGGTAAACCCTAAACCCTGGCATACTCACTTCAAGTGCACGGCTGCTGACGCGTGAGACCCTCTCTGTCACAACCACCCACGGCATATCAGGGTTGGCCTTTTTAAGGGCCCTCATAAGCAGCCTGCGGAGGTATAACGAGAGAAAAGGGATCACGAAAGCGAGGAGTAGGCGTGGTGTTGATAACAGGTGTCACGCCACAACGAAAGAAGAATCATGATGAACTCACTCGTTGATGTTTGTGAATATTGCCTCGCACATGTCATAGTGCACGCGCGCGGAGTCGTACAGTACAGCTTTTACGGGTACTCGTGGCTTCAATGCATCGTATTCCTCCTGACTAAGCAGCAGCAGACGGGGGTCCTTGACAACGACCAGGCTGAAATGATGAATAGGAACTCTGCAAACAAACATTAAGCCCGGGAAGTATGGTTAGGCATGACACGGAGTGGTAAAGCCGGTTCTGGAATACCATCTCCATGACTTCCATAATGTCTGAAACTCTTACTTGGTGAAAACCACGATGCAAAGGTAGTCGTGCTCGAAGAGAAGTTTGCAATCGACGCCGCATGCTAGCTCCTGTCCCCCGGTGACGGTTTGGTAGGCGAGCGTGTCAAGAGCCAACCAAGTTTTCCCGTCGTGTAATTTTTTGTGATAAAGGCTCAAAACCCTGGAAGAATACGTACAATACACGTCATGTACACGATGAAGAGGATTAAGTAAAACAAGGCACACGCTGAACGTGACTCACACGTGGTAAAAGTCGATGGTTGACGTTGTCAGCTCGTATCCATCCTGTATGTGGAGGGCATCCATCATAGTCACCTTCGCTCGCTGGTCGTAATGGTTTTTAATCTCACGGGAGGGGAAATGGTCACTCTTAACCGACCTAGGTAGCTTATCGGTCGCGCAGTCTGGAACTCTGACTCCCTTAGCGAACCTCGATATTATGTCGTCTGGCTCGGGGAGCACTTGCACGCCTTCTAAATTAACGGGGACCTTGAATTCAGGGGACGGAGCCGGCTTATTAGCGCTCCGGTTTGTTCGTCTCCCCCGCGCGACAGGTGCCTGGCTACTAGTAGGTGGGTGGCCCTTGGCGCGTGCGGCCAGCCTAGTTTGCGTCATGGTGCAGAGGCGGATTTAAGACCAACAATGGAGATGAGTATGCTGTGCTACGCATCACCTCGAATGAAAAGTAAGAGGAACAATGGTGGCCGCTCAAAGCCGCCAATACTCTAGGCTCACGAGATGGTGGTAATGTGCTCACGAGACGTTGACGGCGGAGAAGCCGAGGAGAAGTAATGACGAAGGAAGGACAGACTGTTGCATTGTGAATGCAACGGTGCTTAACCCGCCCAGTGAAGTCCAAGGTGGCACGCTGTTATTGACTGGAACCCTGACATTGAGGGTTCTCGAACATCACGCGAGGCAAGTTCGTGCACGCGTCCTCTGCAAGATATTTCCAAACCCAATTTCATCATTGCCACCGCTGCTTGCTCAGCTGAGGTGGACAGCGCATAGATAAAGACGAAGTTGTAATGATTTGTGCAACCTTACCAAAAAAAAAGTGAGCCTGACCACGACATCACTGAAAGTGTACTAAAGTCATTTTTAATGGGGAAAACTGACCGCGGGAATCGGGCGCGGTCGCGTGGGGGGGGTAGTGGGAAAACCACTGCCCGTTGGAATTGAAGACGAGCAAGCACCGCGGTTCGTCATTTCCTCCGAATTCGGTGAACACTCCTCAAGTCCGAATCTGGAACTTTCTCGAACGCGCCTTGGTCTCGAACCACAATTTCCCCTCGCCAACTTCAATCTCGATGCTTCTTCCACCTTCTCACACATTCCTTCTCGATTTCTCTCTCCCTTCTCACGCCGTAGGCCGATTTCCACCGTTTCACCTAGAATCACCCACGCGCTTCCATTTCGCCGTCATTCCGCCGTCGTAGAGACTTTCGCCATAGGTTCCGTGGTTGGGCGAACCAACCCTAACACAGATGAGGGCGGAGGAGGGCGGAGGACGGCAGAGGAGAGCGGGGGACGGCGGAGGACAGCGGAGGAGGGCGGAGGAGGGCGGAGGAGGGCGGAGGGCGGCGGAGGAGAGCGGTCAAGCTGTGAAACAACTAGGGTCAAATCCGAATGTCAATCACGGTGATTGGATGACAGCTGGCGCTTTTTCTGCCCGCCAGAAACGCCTCCACGTCAGCAACGAACTGCACCACGGGAATACCACGTCGGTACTGCTCGCCGTCAGAAGCGGTATTTGCGGCTGTATCCGCGGCGAGCTTATCGATCCCCATTACTCGCAAGCTCGCGACGCGGATTTTGACTCGTCTAGGGGCTGACTCGCTGTAAAGCAGCGGATCCTTGTTCCGCTATCGAATCCACGCTAAATACTGCCACGCCCTTTTGTTGTTAGACGTTCAAGGGCATCAAGAGGTAATAGCATCGTGAAATCAGTGCCGACGAGCATCGACTTATGGGTGTCTGAACAGGACCAATTGGAAGATGCGTCACTGTGACCTGCCGTGGTATCCCAGGTGAGGAAAGAAAATCACGAAACCCGCTAAACAGACATTCGCTATGAGCACGAAAGTCATTTAGTAAAGTCTAGTATATGCCAGATACCTTGTAAGAAATTATCTTCAAGGGCATCCCTGACTGGAAATATAGGTCATCCCAAAATGGCAATATGTATCACTAATCTAAACCCCTTGTACTTCGCTTCCTTCCTATCACCCTGAGAATCACAAGGAAGATTGGGTTGCCATTGAAACACATTATATTTAGAGAAACCATTGCTAAGATTCATATGCAAACTCAACTTGTGCTACTCCGCAGCAGCAATGGGTATACTAAAGGTGTTATAGCGAATTACTAAGGCATGAGACAATAGTAACAGGCCAACAACCTGCGTGGATGGTTTTGGAGAAATAATCCACCAATGACAACGACAACAATCACAATTCCTCATGTAGTTTGCCGCTGCCCGTGCTGCCCGACGCCCCGAAAGTCTTCCGAACCACTTCCTTCTGGTCCTCTGTAAGCGACTTAGGGAAGTCTACAGTGAACTGCACGTATAAGTCTCCCTTTTTGGTGGTGTCGTAAATCGGCATGCCCTCGCCCTTTATTTTCCGCACCTCCCCTGGCCGCGTGACACCCTGCAATGGAGGTGATTATACAAGGGAGGGAGGGTGGGGGTGGGGTGTGAAAAGGGGGAGGAGACCAGGAGTGAACGAGAAAATGAGGGGAGGAAGAGACTGGGGAAGTCTACAGTGAACTGCAGTAGAGGAGTGTGGGAGTAAGGCAGTGAGGGAGTGGAGTGTGTGGCTTTGAGTAGACTCACATGTCTAGCAACACTTCAATTGTCCCAACCCTGAGCACTGGCAGATTTATATATGCCTGGTTACAGTTACACATACCGATTCTGGTAACACTTACAGAGGTGCCGATTTCCACGAGGTGATTGTCGAGGTGAGTGATGGAGTGCTTAAAGCCCACGAGAGCATCCACCTGAAAGCATGGGAGTGGGAGGTGAGTGGAGGAGAAGGCAATACAAGAATAGGAGCAAAGGGTTGTCGAGGTGAGTCACTAGTCCAAGTCAACACACGGCAGGGTAAAGGGAGGGCATGGGAGTGGAGCATAAGGGAATGCAGGAATGGGAGCAAAGGGTTGTCAAGGTGAGTGATGGGGTGGTTGAAGCCCACGAGAGCATCCATCTGCCGGCATGGGATAAAATGATGCGTTTGGGGTTACACGACGGCACAATGGGACACATAGGAGCATGTGGGTGAACATGTCACAAGGTTGGCCTCTACTTCGACAGAAATGTGCGGACACTCTTTACGTCAATATAACATAACAGACTCATAAGTATGTGGCATAGATATAACGTGGCTAAAGGAGCAGTGACGAGATGCAGTGTGAAGACAAACAAGAATGACGGTGCGAGGTTCAGGTAGCAACGTACATGAGAAACAGTAAGGTCCAATGGTTGAAACGTACGAGGGAGATGGTGAGGTTCATGTGGAGGTCGTCCCCTCTCCACTCAAACTGCTTGTGACTTTTGAGGTGCCTTAAAACTTGAAAACAGTAAGTGGTGTGCAAACATACGAGCGAGACAGTGAGGTTCAGGTAGCAACGTACGAGGGAGATGGTGAGGTTCATGTGGAGGTCGTCCCCTCTCCGTTCAAACTGCTTGTGCGGCCGCGTCTTGATCACCAACTGCAAGGCATGATGGGCAAGGCAAGACAGGCAAGAAGGAGAGCATTTATGTTGCTTAAACAGGTGCTCGTCAAGTCTACACGGCTCTCGGCTTCAGAAAGTGGGAAATGACTATCGAGAATTCTAGAAAGTTTCAGTCAAGCAAGTGCCCGTTAACCCTACACCGCTTAACCCTCAAAAGGTGGGAAACGGGAGGGCGGTTGAAATCAGAGGAAGGATGAGGAAGTAGGGGAGAGGGAGGGGGGGGTGGTAGGGGTGGGAATGGGGAGGAGAATTGGGAGGAGGAAGAGGTAGAAATACGAGGGACAAGTCGTTAGGGAACAGAAACTGTGGAAGAAAACAGAAAGGAAGACAAAACGGTGGGGGGGAAAATGGAAGTGCGGTGGGGAAGGAATCGGAAGAGCAGGAAGGAAGTGTGCGTGTGTGTGGGGGGCAATGCTAGTGGATGAGTGTGAGTGAGTGAGGGAGGCAGCAGAGGATGGGAGATAGGCACACACCTTGAGGTCACCAGGATCGCCATCCATGACGGGCTCTCCCTCCTCGTAGAAGGTGATCTCCTGCACGCACACAGACAGACAGGTGTTATCGCAGCACACATACATGGGGGGAGGGGAGGGATACATGGGAGAGTGATGGGTGGGCGGGTCGCCATCCATGACGGGCTCTCCCTCCTCATAGAAGGTGACTTCCTGTAAAAGGTAAATGAATATGGGTCGAGTGTGTCATACGATAGAAAGGAAAGAGCAAGTGAGTCACATAGGCGAGAAACGGCTAATGGGATTCCCCAGGTGCCTCCGAAGAAGTTGAATGATGGTGTAGTACAAAATGGAGGAGGCACAATGGTGGAACAAACGAGTAGTGTGTACACATTGGAGAGGGAAATGGGCCGAGTACCAGGGTGAGGCATGGAGGTACGTCTTGATCCGATATTAAACGTGTTTGACAGAACTTTCAGTCGATAACAAGGCTGAAGTCGATAACAAAATGAAGAAAATATGCGACCCTCCTTTGCAGACACCCATCACTATGTCTCACCTCTTCCACTTCATAATTTGTTTCTTGCTCACTAGCTTGCATCTGCTCACCAGCTTGCATCTGCTCGCCTGCTTGCACATGTCTTGCTCAGCTATTTGCACGTTTGGTGCTCATCTGGCCACGTGCCTCTCTTTGTTTCTGATCTTCCCCAATATTTTCCCGCCCTTTTCACCTGCCCGTGTGCATCATCTCACCTGCCCGTCCTTCATGCCCTTCTCAATGTCCACGTCGATGGGCATGCCCTCGCGCTCGTACTTCACGTTCGGGCACTCCTGACATTCCTGTAGGGCGCAGATGGGGTGGAGCATGGTATGAGGAAGGATGACAACAGAGCAATGACACAGGAGGGTTGGACGGCTGTTGAAATTGAAAGCAAGCCATGTACACAACACATTGTTGGGCATGGCGTCGTGAATACCGCCTACTCACTCACCTACCGCATGCAACCGCCCATCTAAGTTATAGAAGCTCCCACACACCCACCTGCTGCGTGAACTGGAACATGCCCGGGGCGACCTGCCTCGTCACCATCCTCCCTCCCTGCATGTGCACTGATGCGCTTCTGTGTGCCTCTGTGCCCGGACCCAGTTGCACACCGATTTTATCCTTAATGCACCTACTCGCCCACCCTACTGTATGTACCCACCCACCCACCTGCTGCGTGAACTGCTGGAACATGCCCGGGGCGATTTGCCTCGTCACCATCCGAGCCTTGTACTTTTGATGATGCGCTTGTTTGGCACCAACCGACTCACCGACACGTGACATCCGCCCAATCATCTGCTCGCCTCTTCACCCACCCGCCCACGCTCTGCCCTATTGTCCTACCTGCTGGGTGAACTGCTGGAACATGCCCGGGGCGATCTGCCTCGTCACCATGCGCGCCTTGCAGTTGCACTTGCGCTTGCCGGGCGCCGATCGCACCACGTTCTTGTCTCGCCACACCTGAGGGGGAGCAAATGGACAGGAACGCGAGGGAAGAAAGGGCGAGAAGGATGGGAATATGAACGTTCGATTAGATTCAGCTCCACCATCGCAAGAAGGGGCGCGCCTTTAAGTCCACTGTGACTGCATCACCCTATTGAGTTTCCAGGTTCAGTGTCAACGTGAACCGTCCCGTCCGCATTCTAATGGGACCCACCTGGAACGACGACGACCTGCTGTTGTACAGGTCTTCCAGCGACGCCTCCAAGTCAACCGTGACTGCTGCATCTCCCTGTTAAGTGTCCAGGTTCAGTGTCAACGTGAACCGTCCCATCCGCATTCTAGCGAAACCCACCTGACACGACCTGTCATTGTACAGGTCTTCCAGCGACGCCTCGAGACCCACACAACCACAGTAACCATCCAGGAGGCATCTTCATATGCGCCATACATCGCACGATCTAATCCAGCCCACCTGGAACGACCTGCCGTTGTAAAGGTCTTCCAGCGACGCCTCCAGGTCCATTGTGACTGCATCTCCCTTCAAAGTCTCCAGATTCATAATAAACCAAGTCACATCCCACCCACCTGGAACAGCGAATACTCTAGTGGGACTCACCTGGAACGACCTGCCATTGTACAGGTCCTCTAGCAACGCCTCCAGGTCCACTGTGACTGTATCTCCCTATTGACTGTCCAGGTTCATTCATAGTAAAACGTGAGACGTGCAAATTCTAGCAGTTTCACCCACCTGAAACGACCTGCCGTTGTACAGGTCCTCTAGCGACGCCTCGAGGTCCACTGTGACTGTGTCGCCCTTTGGGGCCTGCTCTTCCTCCTCCTGCTGCTGCCCGAACCCTCCAAACCCGCCAAAGAATCTGCCATGGGAAAGGAGCATGTCACAGAGCAGAGCTATGAGACAAGATGCCTGCATAAAAACGCCTCTTTAAGCATCGAGCTCTTCCCTTGCAAAAACCCCCTTCCATGCCGGAGTGCATGTACGGCGAGAAGATGGCCTGATCAAAGGCCCCTAGTCCTCCGGCCTGCTCCTCATGTATGCATAGCAACACCTCCCTTCCTTAACACAATAGCATCGATCTTCCCTGGGCCTGGCAACATTTCCTTCCAAGAAAAACATCTGTCGTTGAACGTACTGTGAGAAGATGTCCTGGCCACCCCCAGCTGCTTGCTGAGCGCTGTGCTGCTTCACGCCCTCCTCGCCGTGCTGGTCGTAGATCCGCCGCTTCTCACCGTCTGAGAGAACCTCATATGCTGGAGCATAGGGAAAGGAAAGGGGAAAATGGAGGGAAACGTGGGAGTTCAGGTGCGGAGAACGAAGGATTCGCTGTGCTGCTTCACGCCCTCCTCGCCGAGCTGGTCGTAGATGCGCCGCTTCTCACCGTCTGAGAGGACCTCGTACGCTGGAGGAATAAGGGGACGATAGGATACGCGAGCAATGAAACGTAAGTGAGTGGGTGGGATGGCGAGCACAAACAGATGATGAGAGCGGGAGAGACTGCGTTGGAAAGAGGTGAAAATGGCGCAGCCAGGGTTCCTGCCTCATGCCAGCAAACTGACGTTACAACAGGTGATGGGAGAAGGAGAGATTGCATCAGAGACAGGGAAAGACTCATCGTAGTTGACTCGACAGACTTCTCGTTAGAGGGATTCCTGACTCGGTCACTCGACCGACTCACCGTTGCCAATCTCCTGGAACCGCTTCTTTGCTTCCTCATCTCCGGGGTTCTTGTCCGGGTGGAACTTGAGCGCTAGCTTGCGGTACGCGCGCTTGATCTGATCCTCGCTGGCCGATCGCGGCACCTGCACGGGATTCAAGGGGACAATTACAACGTGATTGTCATGCTCTCTTCCTCGTTGTCAGCATGACAAAATCGTCACACAAAATCTGTTTGTTTAACGGTTTCGGCAAGCAGAATCAGCTTCGACGAGTAAATGATCGTTCGCGTGACCTTCGTAACCTCATTTAGAAATACTGTGGATTTAGAAGCTGATACATCGCGTTCGATCGCAGTGGAATTCGTGTAGCCTTGCTGTTAAACAATGCAACTACATGCAACCAGCGCACAAGACACCACCTTTGCAGTTCTCGTAAACCTTACCTGGAGAATATCATAGTAATTGCGACTGCGCCGTCCGGTTCATAGGAGCATCGATCGCGAGATTGGCAACCAAGCGAATCACAATCCACAGGAAGAAACACAAATTGTCGAATAAGAAAACGCGCGACGGCACATGGAGGAGACACATAAGGATGGCATGCCAGGAATCCTCAAATTTAAAATAAGACAAAGATAGCTTTGGAATTGGGGTATTCGTAATGATCGCTTGTGCATTGATGGTAGCGAAAATCAGCAACAGAAGTAGAGTGATCGGCCACCAATGATACGTTTGAGCTGACAGCGCGTGACGAAAGATAGTGGCACACACCTTGCACAACAGCATTGAAGCGCCAGGAGCAAGCAACCTGCTAGCAGCAGCAGTGATCCTCGAAACGAGGCCATTGCGACAGAACGGCGACAGCGGAAGCAGTAGGCCTGAACCCGAAACCCGATTTTCGTAACCTACAGCTGTCACAGTCCCGCTGTTTCACAACCTGTGTCTGCCGAATTTCCAAAAATGTCAGGTCTTGCTTGTGCTGATCGTCCTGGTCAACATATATCGTCAGACCCCTATCTGCCAGGACGCCAGTCAACCTACAATGAGCCTAGAAGGCCAACGGGCGTGACCAAGCTGTAGTTGCACCACACAGTATACGCTGTTGTGATTACTTGCTCAGATCCAAGCATGGAGAGTCAGAGACTATGTTGCTGAGATCAGAGCTTGGGATCAATTCCAGAAGGTCAATTGACAGAAACAAAAAATTCCCGCGTTTTTTCCAGTTCATCCACCACGATTTGATCCGGTGAGTTGCGGTGCAAATAACGTCATTGCAGTAACCGTACTGTACCGCGTTGAAACCTACTCAATCGAACTGACCGATCAGCGGAGCAAGACGTCCCACAGAAAGAGGTGGTGGCTGCTTTGTGGTGTGGAGCAACCAACAGAAACACCTCCTTCTGGACGACAGTGAGCTTCTAGAGATTTGCGTGGCAGCGCCACGCGGATTGGCTGATGCGCACCATTATGGTCCGCCATTGGTTGATGCTGTCGGTAGTCGCCATCGTGATTAGAACCCGTAACAATGGATGCTTCAATCTCGCAGCTTCAGTCATGGTTACATCTTTATTTTTTTATGATAATTGCAAATATACACCGAAGGGCAAGTGTACACAAGCAAGAACGGTCGTAACCGTGCGTGAGGAGTCAGAGTGACCTCTTCCTCCAGATAAGGTTCTTTTAGGGCCTGACATTACGTGCCCTCCGCGCCGACCAAAGTGCCGCAAATCCATTTGTCCACTTCAGCTTGGTACCATCTGTTTTTGTCCTCCTCAGCATGTCTCACTCCTCCGATGTGTATCGCCGCCTCTGTTTTCGCCACGTCGACCCGAAATGATGGGTGTACAGTTTCACATGCTGCCGGAAAGCCATCTCAATCCTTTGTACGTTGCGCTCCGAACTTCTTTCCTCTGAAAACGCCATCACACCGTTCAAGCCACAGTTGGTGCAGTGTAATAGACGTTAATGTCAGCTCCGGAAAAGCCGAGCCGGTGCCCATATCTCGGAACAGTAGGTCCCTCAACGAGTCCGTCACGCGGCCAGGGTTGAGCATGCTCAGAGCGCGCCGAAGAGCAGTGGACACCACTTGAATTTTGGGGCAGAGCATCAAGCAGTGTTACAGCGTCTCCGTGTCTCCGCAGTACGGGCAGACCAGCTTGCTGCTGAGAAAAGCCAGGCGCTCCCCTACTTGGAGGTTCACTTTTAAGTTTTAAGTTTTATTGAATGGTCGTAACCATACATACAGTGTTGGAACAGTGAACGGGCTCTATCCCGATACCTAAGAGGTATGCGCCTACGACGCTTGACTGTTTTGCCTATGCAAACAGGGGAGTGTAAATCTCCACCAGTCCAACACTATTCGAGTGAGGGGTTCAGACTTTACGGGGGATGGAAATTTTCCCTTCTCAACCAGGTACGTCTCAGGTCAGGGTGAATGTCAGGGGCGTCCTCAGAGTTGAAATGCAGTAGTTGTTTCGTCGTCCCATATTTGACTCGTGAGGCCGTGCCGCGTTGTTTCTTGGCCGCCTGCTTGCTTCTCTTGGCGAAGAAGATTTTGCATGCCATGAGGAAGGTGGCGAGCACCCTATGTAGGGTTGATATCTCAGATGAGTGTGCGTTGTCATAGATTTCTGAACACCTCTCGTTCCATAGAGTTTTAGCAACAGCTCCCACTAGTAGGCTCCATGGGGCACAGCTCCCGGCCGATGAGTTGAGAGGAAATAGTGACAACTTCTGCTGAGATTGAGACACCAAGATGGTCTTTCGCAGCACGTTGAAGTGCCGTTGTGATGGTAGGAGCGTTTCCACATTCTGTGAAGATATGGGTGAGGGTCTCGACGCAGTCGTTGGAGCAGCACGGGCAGATGTTTCCAGAGGCCGAGAAGCGAAATCACGCACCACACGAGAGAGACAGCGTGTGTAGTTGAAGTAGCACGTCTCTTTGTCGACTGGGCTGTGTGAAGAAATGAGGAATGAATGAACTAGCAAGCAGGTGGGTACAAGTAGGAAAACCTAAAAGTGTTGTACCCCATATTGTCTACCCCACTACAGCCTACACAGACTATAGCATATGAGTTTGACAGGCTGTTCCTATAAAAATGGTTGCTTCAAGGAGGGTAGGGCGGTGAGCGGAGAGGGAAGAATCTCGTTCCATTTGTCGAGGTGGTTCAGCGGTAGAGCCGAGTAGCTTAGGCGTCTGAGGCTGGCTAGCGAGGTGGCATGTTGGAGAAAGTCGAGTCTGCTGCCTAGACCGGCATCGGAGCAGAAAGTCCCAGCATATCAGCCGTTTGTTACGTATACGGGGATGATTTTCGTTAACGTGACATATACAGTTTCCAGAGGAGGTGGCGGCTACTCGGCGGCATTCGTCGACCTCGAAGCTGCGGAGACGAGCCGTGCCGTTGGAGAGTAGTTCCCGGAACTGTAACACCCGTCGCTCTGTCCCTGCTATCTGTCTCGCCCGTATAACCCAGTCGTCCACTGATAGGTAGGATGAGGATGGAATAAAGGAGCAGAGTACTGTCCACCATTCGTCGGGTATGGCTTTGTATATGGCTTTAAGGAGAGTGCGCCCCCCCGGAAAGTTCGTGGTGGGGTATTTGGAGAGAATCTCGTCTTCGGAGAGCTCGCGAGCACCAGTTGGTGTGCGGTGAAGGATGTTGCCCACTCGAACTTCTTGTGTTAGTAAGAACTTGTCTCCTTTAATGCGTCCGAAGGAAAGGCCATCTTTCCTTTTAATGAGTCTGTTGAAGGCGCCATCAGTACCTATGGTTCAAGTCGGGGAGGGTGGATAGCACAGGGTAGTTCAAGGACTGCTTTTAGCTCCGCGACGGCCCGCGCTGGCAGATGTTGAGGTAGGAATTTCAGGATGTCTTTCTGCGCAAGGAAGCAATGGAGGCCAAAGGGGAGCGGTCAGCATGATCGTGCAATATCTTCCAGGGGGGTGGGGCCAAAGCGACTGGCAGCTCGTTGGACCTACAGGGCCTGTAAGTAGGGGGAGGGTTTTATAGCGCCGACGCCTCCATCCCGCCTTGTATTAAATAATATGCGGTCGGGATGAATCTCATAGCCATGCCTTCCTCTTTGTATTTGGATGCTTTATCAGGAGGAGGTTGAAAGCGTCCGCCTAACCGAAGAGGGACACGAGCCGTTCGGAGGAAAGGGCAGAACGACATGTAGATATGGCGTGTAACTTCGCTAGACAGGAAGCAGTACCTTTGACCTTGGTGAGAGCTATATCCCATGTGGCAGCTCCAGGGTTATCGTTTTGGATGTATATACCCAGGATCCTTTCTGCCTCGTTATGTTGGCGAACAGGGATGGGGCAGTCAGGCGGTAATGTGGTTGCCGAGATATTTATAAGATGAATGGAGCATTTGGCCCAATTAGCATGCTCGCCGGGCACTTCTGCGAAGGACTGTAAGTGATGCATGGCTGACTGCAGTTCTTCTCCATAATTGAGGAATAGGGACATATCGTCAGCGTAGCATGCTGCCAACCGGCGCTGGGCTTGGGCGAAGGTGAAGCTGGGGAGGTAGACAGAGAGGTGTCGGTGTAGCACTTCAATGACACAGATGAAGAGGAGGGGAGCCAAGGGGCAGCCTTGACGTACACCAGAGAGAACTGGGAGTGGGCGCCCGGCCAGGTTGTTTACTAAGATCTGGGTATGTGCGTCATTGTGCAGGAGCTTCGCCCAAGCGATGAATGGTTGTGGAATGCCGAGATGGCGTATACATGTGTACATGAATTCGCGATCAACCATGTCAAAGGCCTTTTTGATGTCCACGGTAAGCATGAGCAGTGGTAGGTTTTTAGCTTTGGCCCATTCCATAAGGTCAAGCGAGTCGTTGATGGTGTCGCCGATGCGACGTCCCTTAATGAAGGCAACCTGCGCAGGATGAATGATACGTCTAAGGGTAAGTTGGAGTCGTTTTGCCAAGCAAATCGCGAGGATCTTGTAATCAGACGTCATGAGTGTGATTGGGCGGAGGTTCTCAACAAAAGTCGCGTCCGCTTTTTTAGAAATGAGGACAGTGCATCCCATCAGCATTGATTTGCGGTAGGCATAGATTGATTGGCTTCTATTGAAGAGAATAAGGAATGGAGGGCAGGAACGAGGGTGGAGCTGTGTGTGCGGTAAAAATCCCCAGCTAGACCGTCGTGTCCCGGCGTTTTTCCTTTGGAGAGGGTTGACATTGCTGTCTTGACTTCAGAGAGGGAGATGGGTGCTGCAATTCTGGTGCACATGCGGGCTGGCAGCGAAGAGGGGTAAATGTGATCCCAAAAGGAACTCTTAGTAGTGTTACATGTGCCTCCCTTGTAGAGGTTCTCGTAGAAGGTGGAACAGAGGTCTGACATGGCGCGCAGGTCAGACGTATGTTGTCCTGATGGAAGCGTGAGGCGAGTGATTAGGGCAGCTTTGTTCCTAGAGGTGAGTCTCACTAGGAAGGAGGGCAATCCCATATCCTTTGCTCCTTCTTCCTTGAGTTTTGCCTTCATGGCGATATCTGCAGCCTTACATGCAATGTATTACTCGGAGGTTCAGATCGTGGATTCGGACGAGTACGTCACGTGGACGGCTGGGAACTGTCAGAGAGTCACGCGTGTTCCCCGCCTTTCTCCAATCAATATGACCACTCCATCTTGCCGCCCATTTTGCACGCTTGTATGACTCCGTTTGCGTGCCCTTCCACCCCTCTCTCATCCGCATCATGGGGATAATCCGCCCTTCCTCCAAAATCAGCAGTTGCGGGGGGGAGTCAGCCGAGCTGGGGAGAACCGTCGGAAAACCCAGCAGTCTGTTCCAGAGGGCAGGAAGAGCACCAACTGCCTTCAACGCAAGCTTAGCAGCCCCGCTGCTTCCTAGCTGCTCTGCCAGGCCCGCCATGGCTTTCTGAGAGAGATTACCAGCATCATCCTGGTTACATCTTTATTGAACGTAGATGAATAAAACGTAGGGTATGTGCTCATAGAAAACAGAAATCAGGTTTATGATTTTCCACATGCTTTGTATATTCACCAAGGATATACATGCTGTGTGTGGGTTGTCCTCAGTTGACTAGAATGAAGAAACATCGAACAAAATTACAAGCTGCCCAATAGCGGCATTCACAATCAAATATTTTTTTTTCTTTGCTCCATTGCCGTTGCATTGTGTTAGCGTATAAAGTGCGACACTTGCAGATTATGCTTGCTTCTTCTGGAAGAGGTAGTGGGAAATGATCCACTCTTGTCCCTTGGAGTAGCCGAAGAGCTCAGCCACGGCAATGAAGAATGTGCGCCAGTACACCGTCCACTTGGTCGCCGCTTCCTTGCCGTACGTCTCCGCTAGGATCGGCCGGAGCTTCACAATGTTGGCGTCAAAGTTGTGTAACCACGCCTCACTGTGCAACAAACACGAGTAAAGGCGAAAAGGAAAGGGCTTTTTACTATGTTTCAAGAAACTTTTAGTGTGTAATGGTGGTGTGGGAATGGGGCAGGAGAGAATACATGCAAACATGTGCATCCACTGTTTGACAAACACATCCCTGCAGATTCCTGCAACCCAGTAATCGGACCCACATGCATGCATGCACCATACCCACTGACCTTTGCAAGGGATCTTCACACCTCGCATTTTTCTCTTTGGTAGTGAGTCTAGTTCAGAAGCCCAGAGTAGAGCACACCCCTTCAACCCATTTACACAATTATCCACATGCACACAGAACTACCCACATGCACACACAGAACCTCACGCCCTCACACCCATCTGGTCCGTTCGTAGTGAGTCCCATTGAGGCACCAGTGGTTGGCAATGCTTAGGTCGTCCTGGAAGTAGAGCAGCAGCTTGTCACTCGCACCAATGCACACACAGAGAACCATGCAGAACCACACAACAAACGCATACCTAGTCCGCTGGTAATGAGTGCCGTTCAGGCACCAGTGGTTGGCGATGCTCAGGTCGTCCTGGAAGTAGAGCAGCAGCTTGTCAGCCGGCATCGTGCCCCCCGTGAAGAAGTAGCGAGTCATCCAGTCGTCAGGCCCCGCATCCTGAAGAAAGAAAAAATCAATGATAAATAAATACCATTAAAAAGGCATTGTGCCAGCGCCATGCCATCGCTGGTCCCCCAACCTGAAAAATAAAAACAGGCAACGTGTTCAGTGAAAGTTCTTGTGATCTGTTCTAGTTGCATAGTCACCTACACGCATGTTCTTGGTGCTAATACCTCAAAGTGGTATGCAAAGTCCTTGTGTGTGAAGATGTGAATGAAGAGCAGCGCCTCTGGCTTCATCCAGGAAGCCACCTTTTTCAGCAGCAGCTGGTAGTTCTTCATGTGCTGTGGGGGAACGAAAAGGGAGAGATATAGAGGGGGGGACGTTACGTTACTGGAACAATACAACTGGCTGTTCGTCAGACACATAATGAAGCTTGCTGCGGAAGCCACCTTCTTCAGCAGGAGCTGGTAGTTCTTCATGTGCTGTATGTGGGGGAGGAGCGGGAGGAGAGGGCACGTAGTGTCAATGGATCAATGCATAAGATAGTTTGATAAGCAAGGGGAGGAGAGGGGCAGGATGAGGACTATTGAAGCCACCTTCTTCAGCAGCAGCTGGTAGTTCTTCATGTGCTGTATGTGAGGAAGGGGGAGGGAGGGTATAAGAGACATGCCGATGAGTAAAACCAAAGGCTTGTGATACACAGAATGAGGTATACTGAAGCCACCTTCTTCAGCAGCAGCTGGTAGTTCTTCATGTGCTGTGGGGGAGAGAGGGGGATAAGAGAGAGAGTGTGAGTGAGGGTGAAAGAGATGATGGGGTTAACTGAAGCTACTATCCATGAAGCCACCTTCTCCAGCAGCAGCTGGTGATTCTTCATGTGCTGAAAAAGAGGGAGGGAGAGGGCGGGAGATAGGAAAGAGAGTAGGGCGAGAGGAAGAGACACAATGAGGTGAATTGAGTGAGAATCGAGGCCAAGTCAAGCAGCAGCATCTGGACACCGCATCAACACAGAGGACCGTCCTTGAGACATGATGAGAAGGAAGGAAGGAAGGAAGGAAGGAGGAAGGGGGCCATGGTAGCCCACACGTGCTGTGCGGGATGTTGGGGAGGTGGAAGAGGAGGGGGAGGTCTTTTGACACGCCTCGAAAGTCGTCTCAGTTCACGCGGTTTTTTTGGGGCGCCTCAAAAGTCCTCACATGCTGTGCGGGATGTTGGAGAGGTGGAAGAGGTGGGGGAGGTGGGGGTCATGAGATGGTCATCGTATCAACACTAAGGGCCGTCTGTGAGACAGAACGAGGTCTACTAAAGCCACCTTCCGCAGCAACCAACCCTCCACACAGCCACACAAACCCACAGACACCACTCTGTCAAATGCCCCCTCTGCTTGAAACGAGCTCATGTCTGCAGTGATGACGCGCATTCGGTTCACACTCTGTCACTCACTCCTGCCAACCAACCCTCCACACAGCCACACCTACCCCAACGCACGCACCTCGGACATCTCAACAGACACCATCCTGTCAAACGTCCCCTCTGCTTGAATATTTCTTCCAGTGTACCGAACGTTGTACGTCTCTCTAGTGCTCCAAACGCCAACTGCCACTACGGTGTTACCCCGTCTTACTCACCTCAAACATCTCAACAGACACCACTCTATCGAAGGTGCCCTCTGCCTGAAACGTGTTCATGTCTGCTGTGATGATTCGCACGTTATTGATGCCCCGCTTCCTGGCATAGAAAAGCGAGTGGAAGTAGAAAAGAGACTTATGAAGCCGTCAAAGAGATAATGCACTGCACATGCTGCTTACGCCCCACTGCCATTACAGGAGAGGGGGTGCAAGGAAGACTATTGAGAGGATTTACGGGAGTTGTTAGAAGCACCTATACAATGCTGCTATGATAATTCGCACGTTGCCCATCAGCAACGGAAGTTGCCGGCTTCTTGCTGGAAGAGAGAGAGTGCACCAGACTCTTTTGGGAGACGGACATGCTGTGAGTAAAAAGAGCAGGAGTTAGAGACACCTGCAGATGGGATGCTGCAATGCACGCCGCTGATGCCAAGGCAACTCACTTGTGTGGATTCCCCATGTGACTCAGATGGGCATGCTGTGAAACGAGCAGAAGTGGTTCCTGATAATGGGCATGCTGTGAAACGAGCGGGAGTTGGAAATACCTGCTGATGTGTTGCTGATGCCAAGGCAAAGTCATTGGCACTAACAACGTGACTCACTTGCACTGGCCTTCAATGTAGGCTCGCTGTGTGCTCAATGTAAACCCCAACAATGCGGCTGTTGGGGTACTTCTCCCCCATGTACAGCGACAGGCTGCCCCACCCACCCCTCAGCTCCAGCACACTAGGCTGCCCCACCCACCCCTCAGCTCCAGCACACTAGGCTGCCCCACCCACCCCTCAGCTCCAGCACACTAGGCTGCCCCACCCACCCCTCAGCTCCAGCACACTAGGCTGCCCCACCCACCCCTCAGCTCCAGCACACTAGGCTGCCCCACCCACCCCTCAGCTCCAGCACCCTAGGCTGCCCCACCCACCCCTCAGCTCCAGCACACTAGGCTGCCCCACCCACCCCTCAGCTTCAGCACACTAGGCTGCCCCACCCACCCGTCAGCTTCAGCACGCTAGGCTGCCCCACCCACTCACTTGCACTGCCCCTCGATGTAGGCTCTCTGCGTGCTCGAATTGGACACCCGCACGATGCGACTATTGGGGTACTTCTCCCCCATGTACAGCGACAGGCTGCCTGCCCCACCCGCACCCCAGCTCCTCGCACCACTCAAAGTGAGAGAAACACAGGGAGAGAAAGAAGCTACCCCTCAAGGCGACTCACTTGCACTGGCCTTCAATGTAGGCTCTCTGCGTGCTCGAGTTGGACACCCCAACGATGCGGCTGTGGGGGTACTTCCCCCTCATGTACAGCGACAGGCTGCCCCACCCGCACCCCAGCTCCAATCAGGCTCTTGTAACAAGGGAACAAACGGACCATTTACGAGGAAGCGAAATGGGGCTTACTTGCACTGGCCTTCAATGTAGGCTCTCTGCGTGCTAGAGTTGGACACCCCAACGATGCGGCTGTTGGGGTACTTCTCCCCCATGTACAGCGACAGGCTGCCCCACCCGCACCCCAGCTCCAAGATATCCTGCCCGTCTGCCAGCTGAGCCCTCTCACAGTACATTGCCAGCATCAGCTCCTCTGCTTCGTCCAGAGTGGTCTTGGGGGAAGGGAAGTAGCAGCAGCTGCGTTGGAGTCAAAGGGGGATAGAAGGGGAGGGAAGTGGGGGGGCATGTTTTGAGTCGACTCAAAACACACAGGGAAGTGGGGGGGCATGACATCTTGTCCGTCTACCAGCTGCGCCCGCACGCAGTAAATTGCCAGCATCAGCTCCTCTGCTTCATCCAGAGTAGTCTTGGCTGTGGGGAAGTAGCAGCAGCTGCGGGGGAGGCAAACGGGGGAATACATGGCAGAGGAGGGAAGAGCACACTCAGCACGTCCTGCCATGACAGCAGCTGGTAGGGAAGGGAGACCTCGGCTCGGGGCTCCTGCACGTGCTGCTCATCCGTGTGGATTTTACATTTGAGAATTCTCAAAAGTAAAATCCACATAGCTGGTAGGGAAGGGGGACCTCGGCTCGGCTCCAACACGTGCTGCTCATCCGCGGGCTGAGCCCTCTCGCAGTACACATGGCCAAAATCAGCTCCTCGGCTTCATCCAGAGTGGCCTTTGCCGTGGGGAAGTAGCAGCAGCTGGTAGGGGAGGGGAAGGGCACAGAAAAGGCTCAAAGCTCAGTCATCAGCAAGCCAGCTGTCCTCTCTTAAAAGGCTCAAAGCTCAGTCATCAGCAAGCCAGCTGTCCTCTCTTAAAAGGCTCAAAGCTCAGTCATCAGCAAGCCAGCTGCGCCGAAAGCTGCCACTCTTGCAGTACATGGCCGGCATCAGCTCCTCTGCTTCATCCAGAGTGGTCTTCGCCATGGGGGAGCAGCAGCAGCTGCGGAAAAGGCCCCCAGAGAGAGAAGCCCAGCCGAGATGACGAGAGCGGAGGGCGGCTGGGTCTGGGGTGGGGTGGGGGGTCAGTTAAGATGAGATGAGGAGGAGGGAGCTCTGCAAAGAGGTAGATTACAAGTGGGAAGCGGAAAGAGCTCATCGTCTGTCTCTCCTGCACTGGGTCTCGCCTGCTCTGGGTCTCACCTGCACTGGGTCTCACCTTCCCTGGGTCTCACCTGCTCTGGGTCTCTCCTGCATTGGGTCTCACCTGCTCTGGGTCTCACCTGCACTGGTCCACCTGCATCTCACCTGTGCTTGAGTCGCTTCCCCAGGCACAGCTGGAAGAGCTCTGTTGGGACTTGACGGAGCTGCTGGTTGCTGCATTGAGCTGTAGGTGCACCTACCTCTGGGTCTCACCTGTGCTTGAGTCGCTTTCCCAGGCACAGCTGGAAGAGCTCCGTGGGGACCTCGTAGTGCTGCTCGTTGGCTGCACTAAGACGAGCCTGCTCAGAGATTCACCTGCACGCAGCCGCAAGTTCACTGGGTCTCCCTCACCTGCAATCAGTGGGTAGGGCTCACGCTCACCTGCAATCAGTGGGTAGGGCTCACGCTCACCTGCAATCAGTGGGTAGGGCTCACGCTCACCTGCAATCAGTGGGTAGGGCTCACGCTCACCTGCAATCAGTGGGTAGGGCTCACGCTCACCTGCAATCAGTGGGTAGGGCTCACGCTCACCTGCAATCAGTGGGTAGGGCTCACGCTCACCTGCAATCAGTGGGTAGGGCTCACGCTCACCTGCAATCAGTGGGTAGGGCTCACGCTCACCTGCAATCAGTGGGTAGGGCTCACGCTCACCTGCAATCAGTGGGTAGGGCTCACGCTCACCTGAGCCACGCGCATTGATTCCCACCTGTACTTGAGTCGCTTCCCCAGGCACATCTGGAAGAGCTCTGTTGGGAGCTCTGTGGGTAGTGCTGCTCTCCGTTGAGACTCACCTGCACTGGATTCACCACAACGATCGTCAGCCAAAGCTGCAGTGCACTCAAAGGGTCTCACCTGTATTTAAGTCGCTTCCCCAGGCACAGCTGGAAGAGCTCCGTGGGGACCTCGTAGTGCTGCTCGTTGGCTGCTGCCGTGCTGAGAGCGATGGGCATTGACTTGAGAGCTGATCAAATGGAATTGGGTGTTGGATAGACGGACAGAAACATGGAATAAAACGCAACTTTGTAATGCCGCTCGTTCGCTGCTGCTGGAAATCGAATTGACGGCTGAACAGCGAGTCGCAGCTAGTCGCTTACGCAACTTCACCATTACTCTCAGCAGGTGGTCTCAGAAATGCGGAGGTTTTCAGCAATGTACCCACACTCTGCAAACCCGTCCACGTCCTGAAGCTATACGCGATGTTAGAAGATTCTTAAGAATCGTTTTGAGGAGCATGAGACCTCTAAATGCACTCACATTCAGCGAATTCGACCAGGACCTGAATTTGTACGCGATGCTTCAATCGAAATGTCTCACGGATCCTTCTGAGGAGCATGAGGCCTCTTCGATGCACTCACACTCTGCGAATTCGACCAGGTCCTGAAGCTGTTCCTCCACGGTCTCCTTTCGCGACATGGCGATACGCTGCGACATGAGGTAACGGCAAGCTGGTCGCAGAGCGCGGTCGGGGATCACGTTCGCCTCCATCGTACGCAGTCCTGCCTGCACTGCGAGATCGTACGACTGTCGCAAAAGCGATCCCATGATGATTGTCACTGGTGATTTCCTTTTCGCGATCTTCAACCAGAAACAGCCGCAGCCACTTCTCCTGGAGGAAAGCACAAAGCTCTTGTGGGGTACAACTGCTTTTCTTGTCAGAACCAGAATGCTAAGAATGATCACAGACTGAAGACAGTGCAAGGAGTCAAACCCTAAGCGTATTCGATAATATTGGAGAAACGGGACATGTCACAAGAGTTTATTTCTTATTCACGTGTCAGAAAACAGACAAAGCAATAATGGTACCCCACCGTAGTCAACCACTGCAAGTAGCTGTACCCAGATCGACACGCCTTCATACCAAACGAGCTAGATACCTCCCTACTGTACATACCTCGCCCCAAATTGGTTTGTGAGAGGATCTGACGGCTGATAGGAATCAATGAGACTTCGCGAGCCTGAAATCGAACCAAGAATGAAAGTCTGGCGACTGGTACGGTATGAGACGAGGCTCGGTGAGTAGCTACCGTCAGCAATGACGGTTCTTCGAGGCTTCGCATGCTGGCGTGGCAAGGCAGTTGGGCCCTAGGGAGGACTTGCCTGCTTTTCCTGTGGTTATGGAGGTGACGCGTGCGAAGCACCAGTACTTTCGTTCCACATGGCACGTTGACAGATCGGTATACCCTACACTGGAGACTACGAAATTGTTTAGTAGCGAATTGCTACACCTCTTGGTTAAACAGCATGTATGAAATGGTGAGCTAGCGGTGAGTTTGTGACTGTCCTGAAGGGATGCTGCGCACGATCCCATCTCTATATTGGAAGAGTCCTTCTCTCTGCTACTACTCTATAGCATAGCTATCGGCAGTTCTAGACCCTGAATATATGGGGAGAAGAAAACATAAACGCTAGTCTCGTTCTCAGCTGGTACGGCATAAACTCCCTTACTCAAGTTCAAAACATCGCTGTTTTTAACTCACGGTGTTCTTCTTCACCTTATTGTACTTTCGACAACATTCCTCTCCGTCTCCATTGACCGTGTCGCGAAAGCTCAAGCCAGTTGCAGACCCACCTTAGCCCTCGACGAGTCCTGCGGTTGAAATTTAGACGAATCTCCGAGACACCCTCTCGGAACCATTACTGTACCCCTAGACCCCCGCTCGCAACTGTCGCCATGAATCCCGGAGGATATAGTGGCGGGTTCGGCCCTCCTCCTAATCTACCAGATATTCCCGGCGGCGTCGCGCCTTGGGCCTTTGCAGGACCTCCGCAGCAGCCAGGAAGCGCGCCGAACCAGCGGGTTCCTGGCAACCTCGTTCCGTTGCCCAAGGCCCTTTTTGTTCCAGTACTGGATCCGCCGTATCGGTTTTGTATTCCCCAAAAACGGATTGCTTCTACCGGGGATACTCAGTCGTTTCTGGAGGGGGAATCCGGGAGGTGGTTTCTAGGTTTCATCGTAGGGCTGAGCGAGTCGATTCAAGGGAAGAAGATTTCGGATCCGTGCCACGTGTCGCCGACGTGCGAGAAGATTGTCGCTTTCCTCGAGACGCTGATTTCATGGGTTGACGAAATTCCGCCAAGCGAGACCTTGCTTCGGTACGGTAACCCTTCTTACCGAACCTGGCAGGACCGGTTACAGGAACGGGGCCCGAACCTCGTGGCTGATATGATCTTCCCCGAGAATCTCAAAGCAGCTGTGGGGGAGACCTTTCCGTACCTAGCTGACAGCTTCGGCAACTGGACCAGGATAGATTTCGGCACGGGTCACGAGACGAATTTCGCGGCGTGGCTGATGTGCTTAGTGCGGCTCGGCCTCCTAGTCCCTGACGACTATCAAGCGTTAGTTTCCCGCGTGTTTGTTAAATACCTCGCCTTAATGCGGAAGCTGCAGCTGACGTACTGGCTGGAACCCGCCGGGTCGCACGGGGTGTGGGGCTTAGACGACTACCACTTCCTGCCTTTCATCTTCGGCTCCTCGCAACTAATTGGTCATAAATACCTCCGTCCTAAGTCGATCCTTAATCCGGACATTCTGGAGAATTTCGCAGAGGAGTATCTGTATTTTTCCAGCGTGGTGTTCGTTAAGAAGGTGAAGAAGGGGCCTTTAGCGGAGCACTCGCCCATGATCAACGACATAAGCGGTGTACCGAATTGGAACAAGGTGAACAGCGGAATGCTTAAAATGTACAGAGCGGAAGTGCTGGAGAAGGTGCCTATAATGCAGCACTTCTTGTTTGGGTCCATCATTCCTTGGCCAGAGACGGCTGGTGAGAGGAGGAGAATGGCAGGAGGAGAGGGAGCAGCAAGGAGGGGTGAGTCTGGAGCGGTTGGAGCAGCAGCAGGGGTAACAGGCGCAGCTGTAACAGGAGCGGCTGTAGCAGGGACATCTGTAAGAAGTACGGATGTAGCTGGATCGCCTGTAGCGGAAACACCTGTAGCCGGAGCAGGTGTAACAGAAGCTGCTGAAACAGAAGCTGCTGTGCAAGAATCAGGTGAAACTGTATCAGGTGTGACATCAAGAGTTTGAGAAGCAATGGAGGAGAACTCCATGTCAAAGCTTCTAGTCTCGGGTTGAGGGTTCACTTACCGGTAATCTTTAGTGCACTCGTTGTCATTCTACTAGTTGTCTCTAGGTACTTCAATCAACTCTGCTCTGCTGGTACCTACTGACATTGAGAGAACTGGTCTGTGAACAGTGGGTTGGTACCGTGAAGACATGTGGCACTGGGGAATGTGCATTGGAGTATTTTTGCCACAAACTTTAAGACTACGGGTACATAATAAAATAACTATACCGTAATACCGTAATAAAGGCGTATTCCTATCCTCCTATCAGGAAAACCTCCTATCAAGCTCTCACTGGAAAATTCCCTAAACCCGAAATCTCTCGCTACTTTTACCAGGCAAAAGGTACCGTCATACCCCGGATAAACCCCCATGGGGGGCACTAATAAAACATGTTTTTTTAGGGGGTGGGCTTATAATATAGTAAAATTATAAGCGCCGGCGTTTATGTTATGTCAAAAATGAAATTTGTTTTTAAATATATCAAATCGAAGCATTCTCAAAGGCGAATTCACCTGAGTCGAGAACGTTCGAAATTGTGCATGCTTTGCGCGTGAAACGGCCAACAAGGCGTGGCATGACGCCTTCCACGCCTTGTTGGTCAGGCCAGGTTCATCGAACGTGAACCTGGCCCATGCCAGCGCACACGTACTTCGCATCACAGCGGCCCAATCATGGTTGCATGCGATCGTGGGCACGTCGTGGTTCAGCCACGACGTGCCCATCAACATCAAGATTCCCTGCCACAGAGGCAAAGAGCTTCCCAGCTCAGCTCCTCTGCGTGGAATCTTGACTGTGGCTGGACTTTCCCCGCAGAGGAAGCCGGGCCGCAAAACTGAAGGGGTCTCGGGCGAGGGCTTCATACGGCCCTCATTCTCAGCTTTTGATTCAGTTTTCTTTGTTCGCTTGGCCTGCCGTGGCCATGGCGGACCTTCCAGGCACGCATTTCTTGTTCCGCCGCCGACCTGCTGCTAGAGAAAGTACCTGCAGAGACACCCGTGACTACTCTCAATGGCAGTCGCGCCCTGCGCCCGTCCCTCCATCACAACCAGTAGTGCCTCCCGTTCCTCCCACTCCTCCTACGCCTCCTACCCCTCCCGCTCCTCCGGCGCCTCCTATTCCTCCCGTTCCTCCGGCCCCTCCTGTCCCGCCTACTGTTTGTGTTCCGGGACAGGGGGTTCTGCAGCTTCTCCTCCTGCCTGGCTACTCGGCGTTCGACGCCTTCCTGTCCGAGCCTGAACGCAGCGGCGGCGAAGGATCTTCCTCCGCACCGGAGCAACGGTGGGGAGCGCCGGCTGCTTGCCCGTTGGACGAATCCGCAACCGGTGCAGACGACGACGTGGAGTTCTGGGCTGCTGACGGTCTCCCCGAGCACCTTCCAATTCCCTCCTTCCCCCCTCCGAATAAAAAAAGGCCCCACCCATCTCGCGATAATCGTGATGCCCGTCCTCCCTCCCTCAGGCACAAGCCAACAAAGCACAGGCGCAATTCCTACACCTCGCATGAGAAGCTGCAATGGATTCTGAAGCTCGAAAACGGAGAGATGAGTGTGCGGCGCATGTCTCGCGAATCCGGCATCTCTCGAAGGTGTCTCACGGAGTGGAAGAGCCGGAAGGCTGAGCTTGAGGGCGCGCACGGTGCACGCTGTCGCCTGCACGGCCGCGGAAGGAGCTCGTGGTATTGCGACATGGAAGCGGAGGTGTACCGGAGGTTTCTCGCCCACCGCAAGAAGTGCCTCGCCGTCTCGATCGCACGACTGCAGAAGTGGTCGCACGAGGTGATGAAAGAGTTACACCCAGGTGAAAAGTGGGCCGGCTCTCAGCGGTGGACTCAGCGCTTTCGCCGCCGCTGGAACCTGACGACCAGAGCGAAGACCCGGGTCGGCCAGAAGCTCTCGTCCAGTGAGTTGTTATTTGGTGGTATTGTTGTTTGTCTGTTCCCATCTATTCACGGCTCTCACTCTGTGTTTGTGCTTTCTGTTCCTCCCATCCCGTGTCCCAGACTGCGAGACTGATGTCAAGAACTTCTGGACGTATGTGCGTCACTCCCGCCGCCAGTACAAGATCGACCTGCCGTGGATCATAAACGCGGACCAGACGCCCCTCTGGCTTGAGATGCCATCCGAACGCACCGTTGAAGAGGTTGGCTCGCGCTCCGTGCCCGTCCGCAGCGGCGGCTACCAGAAAGAGCGGGTTACCGTAATGCTCGCTTGCACCGCCAGCGGGGAGAAGTTGAAGCCGTGGGTCTTCTTCAAAAGGAAGACCGTGTCAGAACATATAGCTTACTTGTTTTTCTGTAGGCTATAGTGGGGTATCCCATAGGGGGTACAACCCAATTAGGGTTTCCTATTTGTACTCACTTCGTTCATAGTCATTCCATCCTCGTTCTTTGTTTCCACATGGAATCAGAGTAGGTTCCCTCCTAGGGACTGCTTCTAGGGCCCACCGAACCGCGCCCCGAGGCGCGTTTTTTTTTAGCGA